CATTTGATGGTAAGTGGTTCAGTTTTTTCATGCCAAATCATAGTTAAATTTGGGCGTTTTACGTGCCAACCCAACAAAGGGCCCCTGGCACTCCCCACCCCCAGCGGAAGATTGAGGATTAATGCGTACCACCTGGAAATCTTGTGACGTGCAACTTTGACGTGCTCAGTTACACCGCGCCTTCTCCGCAATAAGCCTCCGTCAGATAGCGGGCACTTCGGCCGGGATTCGAACCCGCCACCTGGAGATCCGTAGGCCGGCGCTTTGCCTCAGAGCCACCACGGCGGTTTGTTCCCTTTTCTTATTGTTTGTGGAACTGTTGAATCTGTCAACAGAAAACACAGAACGCGACAACCTGTGTTGCAGGGGTTTGTAGTCATTTCAGGAGAGTTAACATATTTACTACCTCATGCCTTGCATACTAAGACACTCCGCGTCTTTGGGACTTCGCCAGTACGCTGCATGCCGGTGCTATGTCGAAGTAAAATTTATTCTCAGCATATTTTGACCGCATGAAGTTAGTCAGCCCTAATGGGCGGCTCGTGTCTTCAATGTTGATGATAATTTTGTTTCTTGTGCAGTACGACCGCTACTGTGTGGTCTTTAACGTGCATCGCGCCCGTTAAAGATAAACTCCGCCGATTTCTTTTTTTATATCTACTTATAATCCAAAGGCATAATCTGAGTGCGGATGGCTTCCTGAATCCGAAAGGCTATCGCATTTCCCTAGATTCACTCTAGTTAATTTAAAAAAAAAAAAAAAAAATTATGTTTCGCTCGCTGCCCGGAACGGAAACATCGTTCTCCCCTGTGTTTCCCCAATTTTTCCCGCTACCCCAATATGACGTCATCGACGGGCAGCAAGGCGCGCGGCCGGCAATCGAGTACGCTCGCGCCCGCCTTTCTCACGCTTATCATCGAGAAGACAGAGGGGTTCGTATTATCTAAAGTTGATGATAATTTCAAGTTGGATAACCTTGGCTTACGTAGTAAGCTATAAGAAAGAAAAAAAAAAAAAAACGGAAGCAATTGGGGTTTAGAGGAAACCGTTTTTGCAACTCGTACGCTCAAGCCGTTGCTCGCTAGTATCGTGAAATCGCTAGCAAATTCATATTCTTTCTACCAGAACCTCGCAGTTACGCTGGCGAAGAAAGGCCGAAGCGTAACGCAATAGTTTTTGACAAATTACTTAAGCACCATGGAGAATGCTAGGAAGGGGGTACAGGTGTCTCAGACGCTCGTCTTAGCTAAAGGAACGTGCTATTTGTTTTAGATTTTCTTTAGGAAAGTTACTGTTGCAAACGCCAGCACGTGTAACTAAGTTACACGTGCTGGCGTAACTATAGAATGGCCAAACTCTTCCAATATATGGTTCTGCTTCAAGGCAGACTAACTTTAAGGCTGTATAAGCATACCCACAACCAATTTTTTTTAATGGAGCAATGAAAATATAGTGGGGCTGGAATAACGGTTAAGAGTTGAGCTTGTTGGTACGTACTTGTAAATATCAGCTTGAACTTTAGAAATAACTAGAGCACAAAGACAGAAAGGATAGGATATGACACACAGCTGTGTGTCATAACTTGGTCATAACCTTGGCTTACTACGTAAGCCAAGGTTATCCAACCTGAAATTATCATCAACTTTAGATAATACGAACCCCTCTGTTTTCTCGATGATAAGCGTAAGAAAGGCGGGCGCGAGCGTACTCGAAAACCGGCCGCGCGCCTTGCTGCCCGCCGATCACGTCACGTTTGGGTAGCGGGAAAAATTGGGGAAACACGGGGGAGAACGATGTTTCCGTTCCGGGCAGCTGTGTGTCGTGTCCTTTCTGTCTTTGTGTTCTAGTTATTTCTAAAGTTTGAGCTGATATATTTACAAGGCTGGGATATATTGGGATTTTACTAATCGCACATCGTTTAGCGCTCCACAAAGCCAGAAGTCTGCTTTTTGGAGCGAACATTTGAAATTATAGCACACTATTCTTTGCCTATTTTTCTTTGTAAGCTTTCCACCGTTTCAATGGGATGTATTCGAGGTGCCAAAGCACGTCATCCGAACCCGGCCCACGCATTGGCCACGTGCACTGCGTCACTCTGACGTATGCGCTCGTCAACGATGGATCCCGCGACGTACATTTGAATTCGCGTTCGTGGCCAATGAGTGTTGTGACGGCATTTGTCATCACTTACGAATGACAAGTTTTATGGTGTGTTGAAATAACGCCGTGGAAGCTTGGAGTCGTCGCATCCGTTGCACAAGCAAGTCACGACCGCGTGATTTCTCATTTGGCTATTGGCGACGAGATGTTTTGGTTATGCAAGGGTACACTCTAGTTATGCCCTATTAAGGCCGGTTCAGACGCTTCATACAAGGCGGAGAGCTTTCGAATGCAAGAAGGTACAAAATAGTCCGCTATATTTTCAAATGTTCGTACTGAAAAGCTGGCTTTTGACTTTCTAGCCTCTTTCTTTGGGCCAACTAAACGATATGCGATTAGTGAAGTCCCAATTTAAAATCATTCATCCCAACCGAAAATTCGTTTCATGGGACCTTTAATTTGCCTGGGAACGCAATCTGAGCATTCGGCACGAGTGCTGCATCATCGTTTGACGAGCACTCGTATCCTATCATACGTTTCGTGCCTAACGGTGAATTCGGAAGGTCGCCTCCCTCCTCTGACCTGGGTGCAACAGAGCGCCCCGAGCTCCTCGGCGCCCGAACTACTGGGGATCCTTTTCAACTGATCAAAACTGCTGGGCTAAGAGCGCTCTGACATTTTCGGACCGGCCACGGAAGTTAAACTTCTCGACATTAGTGACGGATACAAAAAGGCTTGAGCTATACCTAAGCACTTCTTATGAGTGTTCAATGCGAAAGCATGAATGTCGTTCTTGTGCGCGTTCTCGTGAAGTGGCCGCGCCGCGCTCCGGAGTATGTTCGAGCGAGCTGTCTCGGCGGAGGCACCGCCAGCCAAACGCATCCTTTTCCCGGAGCGCTCTGGTTCGAGCACGTAGCGCCATAGGCCAGGTGAGGACAGCGCGCTCCTCGCGACGTGCCGATAACGTTCGCTTTTCACTCTCTCTCTTTCTCTCTCTCACTATGGTTTCAAGCGGCACCGGCAGATGACTCGTCGACCCGTGGGCACGTTGTAAGACGCAGGAGGCAGGCAGCAGTGCACAAAACGGCTTCTGCCGCCTCATGCTCCACACGCGCAGAGCTCCAGCGAGGTTGTCGCACGCACAGAAAGACCACGTTGTACCGGGGTGTCATGGCAACGAGATTATTTTTTTCGCTCTCACACGGTTTCGCCGTTTCGCCGCCGGCGACACTGTCAGCCGCGGGCACGGTGGCCGCGGAATGATGCAGCCTTTGGGATGCCCGTCCAACGAACGCTATCTGATTCCTCGCACCGCGCATTCATCCCCGCCGTGTCCTCACCTAACACGACACTGTCAGCCGCGGGCACGGTGTATCTTACACCATGCCACAGGGTGGCCCTCCTTGAAAGTGACGCGCCTCGGCCAATGGGAGCCTCGTTCCTTGAAACTATGATGGGCGCCAGCCAATGGGAGCCCTATCCATCAGAATTCAGCTTCACTTGGAGAGGGGAATTTATTTGCCGTTCGGCTCTGCATTTTGCGCGGCTTCAAAGCTGGGAGCCTTCAGATCGCGGCTTAACTTCGCTCCATTGGAAGAGGTGAGTTTATTTGCCGTTAGGCGCGGCAGCTGATGACGTCGGTTCGCTCCATGGGACAGGTAATGCTTTAGAAGTTTCGCATTAGAAGTTTTTACAGCATACGATGGACGATTGAGAAAAATTTAGACTCGCAACGTGATGGACTAACGGCTGTGACCGACTACAAACTGTTCTACGCATCAGCCTGTTAAAAAAGAAAACAACATGCGCATACGTTTTTGCAGAACGGAACGAACGCCAATGTTTGGAAATAGCTATAGTTATCAACACATCGCGTTTGCGGCAGTGCAAACGATGCGATAGCAATCATGCGTACGGCAGAACAGGCAGGTATTAAATGATTAGTAAACTGCAGCGGAATATTGTGCAAGCATGACCCTCAGGACATAGCACGTATCACCATGTAAAACAGTGCATTATAATCGGCTCTCACTTTATTTTAATACCAAACCTTTGAACGCGCTTTTACCAAACCTGAAAACTTCTTGAAGCGTCCACAAAACCCGATAAAACATCCGCGAGCTCCGCGAGCTCTCTCTTTATCGGTTAGACTTAGCGGGTTCACCACCGTGAAATTAACGATCTCGTAAAAGCACTGGGAATAATTCCCGCGCCGTGTTATCCCGTCACGGTCACAAGAGAATGTCGTCCCGTCCGTTGCAATCCTCCCACCCTCAAACGCACAAGCGGAACGAGATTTCCACCGCCGCACTCTAAGAAAATAAGTTTACATTCTTACACCCCTTGTCGCATATGACACACCCCAAAACTTGAGGGGTCGCTCGGGCGCTTTAGCGTGTGCGCCCCCACAAGCCCACAAACTTCAGATTGTAGACCTATTGTCACTGATGTAATTCGCCGATATTCCACCGTATATTGCAGCGCTTGGCTTTCACACATGTTTTGCGGGAAGCAGGCGCTTCAGATTTTTCAGAGTGTAGTTTGAAATGTTATATTTCGTCTGCGTTGCGGAAAAACAAACTATCGGAATTGTAAGAGCAATTGTTCTTTATTCCTCTGTCCTGTCGTCTTGTGTTTACATTTACTGCCCTCGGTTGGCATTAAGGTATACGGATGCAGGCATTGGGCGTCAAAAATTGGGACATACAATTGTTACTCGAGGCTTTCTTGGAAAGGCCAACGGGCATCAGATGAAGATGCCGACGTGACTTTAACTTAATCGGAAGTCAAACATACTAGCGGACGACTGACGGTTACCTGAGAGCGCAGCTACCAGATGCGGCACGTGGAAACCAGAATTTATAGCATAAGTGACATGCTACATGAGGGAAGAAACAGCATGAGTCTTCACATCGCAATCCTGCTTGCTATTTTACTCGGAACGTCATTTGGTGGTAAGTGGCTGTTTTTGGAGTGTTCAACACCATTATCCGAAGGCGAAAAGCAGTGTGTGTGTGGTCATTCCTTTCGGTGTCGGTCGTCTTTTGTGAGTTATGGCCGTTTGAAAACATGTCTTACCTACTATTTCAAGCTTCCGTCTTAATAAGAAGGGGAAAACGCGTCTACATTGCTTGCACTGACGACACACCAGTTGTTGTGATGGTCTTGCTAGCGGGCGCGCACATTCGGCAGCATGCATTTTGTACCATTGAATTCGCTATCCTCCTGAAGAACACGTAATCAAGTCTACCGCATGGTGCACATGACAGTGATATATACATAACCGCTCCTTCGGTAGCTTTTTCTGATAAAAAGCATGCCTATATTAGCATGCCTATATTAGCATTTCTGGCTTCTTGACTTCGTGTTTCTTATTTGGGTATCTTTCCCTTGCGCATATGCTGTTGCCGATGTTTATACGTGTCGTCTAATAAAAATGTAAAAAATAAGTTAAAAGTACGCCTTCTTCTCTGCTGCCTCTTACTCTTTGTCCCTGTGTTTTTTTCTGGCGTAAAACCTCACTATTATACATGTGATAAGCATCAGTGGCAAAGACCGGTGCCAGAATCGGAACCAAATCCCTCTGGACGAAAGGTTAGAAGGTTATCGGCGCATTTGATTTGTTCTCCTTTCTTTGAGAGCTATGTGCGCTTCACATACGTGCCAGATGACAGACGCAATTGTTGACCTTTTCTTGTCTCTTTGTGATGTCGAGCCACTGAAGCGGGCGTCGGCAAGTCTTTACAAGGGCCTAAGATGGGGAGAAGAACACAGTAAAATCTAAAAGGGCAATATTTAACATGTCTTGTTGTAGTAATGATAATGTAAAGTGAACGGAATAAGAAGAGAGAAAAAATGAAGGACGTTTACAATTCTCTGTTATGTCGAATCAGAGCGACGCTCTTGAGGAGGAGGGGAGAGTACGGAGGGGAGGGTCACGTGTGACGTCAGACATGACGTCACGTTTGGCGTCACAATGGTAAAACTTTCCCGCTAAATTTAGCGTGAAAATTTCCCCGCTGAATTTAGCAAAACAAATTTTCCCGGGTTGAGTGGCGTCACGTGTGACGTCACGTGTGACGTCATTATGGGAAAGGTCCCATAATGCAACGCGCGGTTACGCCGACGGCGACGGCGTTGCCGCTCAAGCCGCCAACGGGTGCCTAAGAGCTGCGCAGCTCTTAGGCGGCGCAGCTCTTAGGCGTCTAAACTCTATTTCACCTCATGATGGGCTGCAGCGGATGCTGCAAGCCAACCCAGCCAATCGAGCGCTGTGAACGCATCACGTGACCGACGCGCTCAGCTCTTCACTCTACGCCTTCTGAAAAACGCGTGAGATTCACATGACATGGAATTGTCTTGGTTGGCTCGTAGTGTCCTCTGCGGTCAATCATAAGGTGAAACGGAGCGTGTGGAGAAAGAAACCATGACCAGTCTCATATTTTATTACTATCAGACGTTATTGATTCTTGAAAGTATTTAGCGAAAGCACTTTCTCGCGTGTCGTTTTTGGTTTGTCGGTTCTCGGGTGTCGAGGGATATTTCAAAAGATTCAGTTTTTACTGGTTCTGTAATTAAAACGTGCACACATATTTCTCTTTTTCTTTTTTTTTTTTTCTTTTTTTGACAGGGGTGTCATATTTTTTAAGCTACGTAAAGGCTAAAGCTCACTTGTTTAAATAATTCTATGGATGTTTTCATTTTCTGATGGAGATCTTTTCCTTTATAGTCGTGATTACATCAAAGCTGACTCAGCCTCTGATAATCGTTCTCTGGAGTTTGCTTAAGAGTAATGATCCTTTAAATAATAGACACTTTTAACAAGTTTGTTTTGTCTTAAACAGACCTCCAGGCACAAAAGGACCCATTCTGCATTTTCAGTCAGGGCGACGTTTTTGTCTGTAACCAGACTTGTTACCTCGAAGTGGAAACAGTTGACCGTCTTATAGCTGTTTCAATCGTATACTTCAGTTAAAGCGCAGCGAAAAAAAAAAAATACAAAGGGCCTTCTTTGCAAAAGTAATTTATTGTTATTATAGATATAACACCAGAACACGTTAAACAAACGCCGCATATTGAACTTTCGGTAACACTTTCCATGTTGTTTTTTTTTTCTTTCTCAATTGAAAGCGCCGCTTCTAGAACGTGTCGTGTATCCCAAGCTTCTTGAAGCAAGAGGCATCAACGGAGAAAAATTACTACGTATCGAAGATGGACTTGTACTGACCCTGGAGAAAAGTGCAGTCCTAGCCGAAGATTTTGTCTTGGTTCAAGGCGACGGAAGAGAGCAACATGTAGGTGTATCTACCATAAAAATTAGATATTGTTTTTATATATCTATGATATCCTTATTTATTTTATTTAACTACTGACCTATGGGTGATGTGCAAATTTGTAGTGCACCACTTGGAATATAGTTTCGCCAGACCAGTACTTTTCATTATTGAGTTTCAGATCAGCGGCAAGGAGCTGGAGAAGAATCTGTACCACGACATACAACACATGTCAGCTCTTTCGATAGAGGAAGTGTACGGAGGTTGGCAGGTGGTAAGTGCCACCGGTACAAGTATTTTCGCTGATCATTTTAAATATTACTAGGGTCGATTCAGTAAGTATATTTCGAAATTATTTACTAACAAGAGGTGTCTGCAGTGTGGAGGGTTACACGAATGGTTTCAGAATTATTTGTCTAATTGAACATGTGTTGCTCGTGCGAACGGCGCCTTTTTCTTTGCGTACAAGGCCAGTTCTGGGCTCGTTTCCTTTTCTATTTTTGCGAACGACGTCTGTGAGCACATTGCAAACTCTTCTTCTTTTTTTTTTTTGCAATATGCTGATGATATTAAGGTATTTAAGGAGATTAAGACGATCTCAGATAACTAGGTTCTACAAGAGGGCATAAACTCATTTAGCAAATGGTGTTCACTGAACGGTCTTCTTCTAAACAGCTCGAAAACCAAGGTCATGCCCCATAGTCGCAAAACACAAACAACGTGTTTCACCTACAGTGTTCGCTCAGACGTATTGTGCCCTGCTGATGAAGTGCGAGACTTGAGGAGGGGGGGGGGGGAGGGGGGGCTTTTTGATTCTTTTTTGAGATTTCATAGCCATGTGGCTCGTATAGTACCTGCGCTTTGCGTGCGCTCACTGTTGTCTATCGAATGATAAGTATTTAGAAACCTCGCAGCGTTCGTAACCCTGTACTGCTCTTTGCGAAGGTCCCAACTCTACACGCATCTCCTGTATGTGTACGTAGTTGTAAAAACTACCCTCCTAAGGCTGGAGCGAGTGCAAAACAAATTTTTATCTATTTATCAATATCGCTATCTGTGCAATGAAACATCTCTATCAAAGAGTGACAGGGTATTGGACGTCCCACATATGAACAGCTTATATCACTGTCAAAAAAAAGCAAATCTGTTTTTTTTTTTGTTTTTTTTTTTTTTCTTTTCAAAGTTCTTTATGGAATGGCCGACTATTAAGAACTGTTATCACATACAGCTTTTAGAGTTCCGCGAACAGCGGCCCGTTTGACAACGCCTTTTTCTCGAACGTTAAATATCCTGGACCCCATGTTTCATCTGAAAAGGGAGGGGGGGGGGGGGGGGGGGGGACATATAATATCATTGCAAGTCATCTTGATATTTTTTGTGTGACTGAATTTGTCAGATCTCTCAGAGTCTTGCAGGAGTCTCGCAGAACATGTCGTAATTGTGATTTTATTATTTATTATTTTTAGTAAGTATATTTATTTTTGTGGCGCTGTCTTGTACCCTGAGTATGAACCCTGCGTTGCGTTCGTTGCTTGTTGTGTAAGTCGGATCTTTGTGTCCGCGTGAGTTTTAAGTATCATGTATTTTACACAATGCTGTGTGTTTTTTCCCGTTTTTATTGTAGTGTGTAAGTTTTGGTGGTCCAGTATACCGAGACCGCATGGTCGCTCCTGAACACCTAATAAAAAGTATTCTTAATTATTGATTATAAAAAAAAAAGTTCCGATTCAATCAAAGGTAATTACATTTATATTTGCGGTAAATGCTAATAAATATTTCCAATAAAACTTGCAGAGAGGAGTGCTGAACGAGCATCTAAAGATAGAACCTTTGCCAATGAACACTCGTTCTGAAGATGGAAGCAGCGCGCATAAAGTATCCAACATTGAGAAGGTGGCGAATTACGAGAACGATTACATCGGTAAGATTGACACGTACGGGATCTATTTATCGCGTTATTTTAAATAAGCCCAATGATTTTTTCTTATTACGGTGCTTACACCTCAGTATACACTTCAGCCCAGTGAAAACACACAGAAAAAACATAAAAACACGAATGACTAAAAAGGTATTTAGTGATTACGAACGAAAACTTTCTCGATCGAACCTAAGAATTACCAGTTTAAGTTTTTTTACACGTATATACTTTCCGCAGTTTGTCTACGTGATAGTTCTCGTACGTTGTGCAATAAAATTATGTGCCTGTGAGAGATTGCCTCGATAGTCTATGCGTTGGGCTATCACTCGTGGTTCCTATGTGCACACGTTCTTCACTTCTGTTATGTAGGTACTACATATATTGTAATATTCGGACACAATAAACTTATCTCTATGATAATGATCACATGAAGGCTTTACACCCTAACATAATATCATCTAACAAGATGTTACGTGATATATAATGCAATATAATACAGTGTATTGCACTACAATATACTAACAAAATTCAGTGCACAGATTAGGAATCACAACATTTTTGTATACATTGCAATGCTATATAGTACTATCCTTTCCAGTGGCCCCTGGTTCCGTGGTGGCCGAGAGAGCTGAAAACTTACCTGACGGTGAGCAAAATACCTTCTGGATTCCTTGCGCATTCTTCTTTTCTTTCTATGCCCTCAAAACTTGAGAGAGATGATGTGAACTCTTTGTTGAGTTATCGTTCTCGTCGCGCCAATGCGCGAATAACATAATGGACTGATCTCAGCTCGGTGGTGCCATTTTTTTTTCTTTAATTATGTATTGTATAAGATGCTTGGTCCTGAAATATTTTAATAATCGTCTCTTTTGATATCTTAAAACTTCACTAGGTCGATTTAGCATAGCCTAGTTCTCATCTGAAAAGTATTTAGTAAAGTAGCTTCATGCGTTTCCTGAATCAAGGAAGTTTAGAAGCTAAACATGTGTCAAATCTGAAACCCCCCCCCTTTCCCCCGCCTTTTTAAACTGCCCAGGAATGCCAACCCAGAAGGCTTGGTAGAGACCGCTGAAAGCCGGTTCGGCACCGTTAACATGAAGGAGTCGATTAGTCGAGCATGTCTTTTTCGAGTATACGCTAACAACACTATATTCTCTACCACGCACAGCTTTCAGATGACGGAGCAACATGTGCCCCGTTGATGTTGTTAAAAAAAACTCATTAATATAAATAAACGTTATGACAGATCTTGTTAAAATTATCGCACATCTCGTATTCATTTCTCGCACAATGTAGGGGGTAAAACTGCATTCACATTAATTGTGAGAAGCGTTTTAAAAATGCATCAACATGTTGTAAAAAAAGTAGTTTGCAAAAAGCAACATTTTTGCTTGCTATGGACCAGCGCATTCGATAATTGGTCCGAACTACAGTATGCAGGCGGAAATCCTCCCGTAGTATTTATTTATCTACTGACGTTTATTGATATTGTAATCACTTATGGGTTTTTAGAGGAGTGGAAATTCAAAGAAACGGCCACCTGATGCGTTGTTTGTTTTCTTGCATGAACTAATAATTTCGCTGTTGTTTTCTTCACTTAAACACCCTTTTGCCACCTTGTGGTCCCCCACCATAGCAATATGGTAATTATGGTGAACATTCAAGCTTAAAGCAAAACGGAGCGTGAAAGGGGGTGGTACGTTATGTTCTCCCATAGCGTCCTCTATACTGAAAAAGCCTGACACACCGTCACGTGACGCGGCTGCCGAAAGTGAAAAGGTAGAACGGCAGACAAGAGACTTGTAACGGGCGCCCCGCTGCGGCGAGACGCCGAAACACACTTGTCCCGAGCGATGGAATGTCTGCTCGTGCTTCTCGGGTTCCTCGGACTACCGCTTCTTTTCTCGTCGGGTTTGAAATCCATGTTTCGAGTCCTCGCCACTGCAAAGGCTGTGCGCTGATTTCCAGACTCCCCGAGAAATGCTCTGTGCTACCAGATCCTCGCGCTCCAAATACGCAACCGGGCACTAAATGGCTCCGTCATCGAACTGCCAGGCTTTGTGAGTATAGAGGAGGCTATGGTTCTGCATATGCTTACATAAGACAGTTTCTTCGATTTCGAAATATTGGGACCTGGGGACACATGAGGATTTGCACTCTCATGCTTGACTGTCAATGCAGCGTCCTCAAATGTTGCAAAAGAATAAAAGCTAAGAGTTTCGTAATCATGATTTTTATTGAATGTCACCTGTGCTACGTTTTCCTCTGCACACAGAAACATTGGTCAAAAATGTCGCTGTCGAAGTGATGGTGATATCTGACCTTCATCACCACGGTCACAGTTACTTCAAGGAGACAGATGTGGTCATCTACGTAGCAATGGCTATTATTTCGGTAAGGCGCGATTCTCTTATAACAATAACCCGATTTTGACTACATCATACACAGGAATTTACCCCTTTTACGTTTTCTATTCATACACATCTTTGGTGTTTGGCTACTACAGTGCCTTGAAGGTGTCTCCGACCGTCCGCGCCTTTATTATTCTGCTATTCTAAACCTTGGAGCGAGGGAGAGACGAAAGAAAAGGGCAATCGCAAACCTCCCCTGCATTCTGCCGAGGAGGAGGTGAGAACGCGCGGTGACTTCACAGCACCGAGCTCTGGCTGAAATGATTAGTGGGCTGATTAGTGAACACAGCTGTTCGAACATGAACTCCAAACATCGACGTCCGGCGTCGTTCTCCGTTCTGCGTTCGAACAGTGGGTAGACGAGTTTTTTTTTTTTTTTTTTTTTTTTTTTTTTGTCTTCGCAAGTTTTTTTTTTTTCGTGCAGTCTTGGAGTGTCTGGTTCAGAACAATGGGGTCGGGATTTGGATTTCCGCCTCGGCGCGTTTATGATTTGGTTATTTTTTCTAAATTAATTACTATTTGTTTTTTACTTATGACTTCTTGTTTTTTACTTATGACTTCTTTTGTATTGATTGTCCTCTGAGGTACGTCATACACATTTCGGAACGGTTTCCGTGGTGTTTCGTCATAATTAATTCAGGAATCCCATTCCTTAAACACAATCGGTGCAAATACTAAGAGAGGGCATGACGCTGCAGCTCTGTAGCTTTCGCAAACTATCCTTTCTCGTCGCTCGGCTCTTCCTCGTCCTCTTCTCTAAGCCGCTCCTCGACCACATGGACTTACCATCGTACCTTGCATGGTTGATATTTGTATGTAAGAAAAAACAATCGGCTTTGGTGGGCTAAGCTCTTTCACTATGGTTTATATAGAAGATTGCAACAGTTTCCCCGCTCACGCGGTGTCTAACCCGATCCTATGTTATTTAAGCAAAGCTGCGTGCACAGCTTTGTTTAGTTAATCTCTTTTTTCCCCCTCTAACTTCATTGAGAACCTGGTTATTCAATTTCTAAAATAGCAATATCGTTGCATCATCGTTGCAGCATTGTTGTATTGTATCATCTATAAAATCTCTGAAAATTTATTTTGAGTTTGGGTTTTATTGGTAAATCGTTGCTGAAATATTATATAAAGCTTTCGCTTCTTGTTTTTGTTTTGGTTTTGTTCTTCTATATGTTACTATCATGACAATTCCTCCTTTTTTGCTCCCCCCCCCTTGTGTGTTGCATCGGCAGATGTCCTTGAGGTAAATAAATTGAATTAAATTAAATTCGAAGCCGCAACAACCGGACCGCCAGTTGACCGTTGTACGTCGCTTCTTTCTTGTTTAAAGCCAACCATCAAGTCAATTCATTGTAAACTAAAGTAGTATTAGATTACTTCGGAAATTAAAAACAGCGCGGAAAGACGAGGACCAGACAAAGAAGTGACACGGACGTAGCAGCGCTACGTCCGTGTCACTTCTTTGTCTGGTCCTCGTCTTTCCGCGCTGTTTTTAATTTCCGAAGTGTGTACCAACTCGCCCAAGCCTCAACTTTAGTATTAAATTACGTTGCTGGGCCAGTTAAAGGAACACTACGTCATTCTTGAGGTAGCTCATGTGAAATGCATAGCTTATCACAAATCTATATCACTCTTGGCAAACTATCAAGAACACAATGGATTGTATTCTCCTTGGCAGGCTGTTACCACCATGCAAGTGATATTTTTTTATATGGGATATCAGCACGCAGTATTACAATCAGCTCCTTTCAATAATTAAGAAATATATATTATATCATTAAAAATTTGTGAGCTAATAAATATCTTCAATCATACCATTGTCACTTAAATAGCAGGTATGTCGATTCAATATGCCAGATGATAAGTGCTTACGAACTTTGGCGGAAATTGATCCTGCGGACGTCGAAGAAGGCTGGGTTGACAAAGTGGTTTCATCACAATACATCTAGCTCTTGCGATCCTGCGAAATATTGTTGGTCACTTATTTGATTCAACATTGGTTGGTAATATCAATGCACAACAGCTGAACCAGTAAGCGAAATTAAAAGGCTTTATTCGCGAAGGAATCGAATTGTGAAATTTGATCGTCACAGTGTTTTTGTAAGCTGAAAGGCTCAACTGACACACAAAAATCTTGACCGATGTAATGTGCGCAGTGCAACCAGTTCCTGACGGGTTACAAAACATTTATTGCCTTGAGACTCACGCTAATTAAACCTACTCCAGCATGAAAAAAGCGAAATATTCTTTTTGTTCGTGCGTGCTCGACCTTCAAGTTATTAACGTAAAGTCCCCCCCACTAAAGAGAGCGGGAAAAGTTAATGTTTAGTTTCAAATATATAGCATGCCGGGAAAAGCAAATCCAGGGTTTTCCAGAAATCTAGTTAGTTCGACTTGCTTAACAAACCGCCGGAGCTCCCTTTGAGCTAGAGTGTTCTAGACGGGGAGGTGATCGTAAATGGGACGCACTTCCTCCGAGATAATCGAAGCCCATCCGACGCAGGACGCTGGACTAGATACCTCCACGATATTTCTGAGAGCTGTTCAGGCGCAAAACAATTCGCGTAAATAAGTCGATAAACTGAGTAAAATTAATGTTTACCAAGTGTGTCTTTAAGTTGTGCATTTATTATACTAAAAGTTTGTGAGTGTAAAGAAGGCAAGGAAAGAAACAAACAAATTCGATAAGCGGAAGGAAAACAGAAGCAAATCGTCGGGTTGGCGCTAAACATGGCATCACAAGGTGCAACAACTTGAAAGCTGCTTATATATAAACATCCTAAAGAAGATCCAGCAGAAGAGCTTGTAAATAAAGAAGCCCTTGACACGTTAACTTTCTCTGTACTGTCACGTTTCACAGATGACGTAAGTTAGAAGAAATATTGCATCTGTACCATCCACACTCTACGAAATTCCACGATTAACTCCATACGTTGTTTTAATGTCTTACTGAAAAAACTGCCGGTGTTCTTTTTTCTAATTTTTACATTGTCCCTATAAGTGCAGTGCCATTTTTTTTTCATTTATCGGCAGTTTTATGTGTTATTATGTTTTTTATGACCTTGTTTGTTATACTTTTATTTTATGCATACCGCGTGGATGCAGTTGTCTTGGCCAGGCAGCCGGCAAGAAAATGATGAATAAATAAATTAATAAATAAATAAATCAATAAATAAAAGCATATGTGAAACGATATAGGAGTAGCAGCGTCAACCAAGCGGTTTGTTTCCATTTTGTTCCGCTGCATAGGAAATACCCAATTTTTTCTTGCATTCTATTTTTAAAAACTTACACTCACAAAATTATAGAACGATAAATGCACCACTTAAAAACAGATTTCTGAAAAGTTTCATAGCACTCCGTTCATTGGATTATTTATTAGATTCTTCCCTACGACTGAACAGTGCGCGCCAGTCACCTAGCTGCGTTTGGACATTTGTGTTTGTCCTTTGACCCACTTGTTCCCGTTCTCCAGGGACCATTGTCGTTTATTCTGTCCAGCTCGCCTGCACCCTCGCATAAATTGCATTGACACCGTGTGTACTGTCGTTTCACCTACCAATTGACCAAATCGCGACAGTTGTAGAGTTTGTCAGTGACTCATGTAAAGCATAGTTTTCTGCCATTCCGGAAATCCTTCAACTCATGGACGTTTTTTGCTGAACAACTAAACCTCCGGTCCCGTTCCAGGCGCCACAGTTTTACCAAAAGTGGCGTATTTTGTTGTGTTAGTTGAGAATTATTGGCCCCGCGCTCTCCTACGCAAATTAAAATCATACTAAAACAAGAAATATACTCTCAGTGAAGGGCTTCTTGTTGGCTTCATTAACTTTTTAATGTTATTGTTTATATTCAAGCGGAAGAGGCCGCTTCCGGAATGCCTACACGAAAATAACTACACAGTTTTTTGCAGGGGGTATTTTAATATTGGGTTGCTGAGAAACTAAAAAGGGAAATGGAAGCTATTACTCAGACGAATGGGTTTTTAAATGCAATACAAATTCCAATTCAAGTTACTGTAAACTTTGAGACATTAATTGATATATTTATTAGTAATAGCGACAGTCCACATATAAAAGCCGGAGTCATGAATTACAATCTAAGTGATCCCCTTCCAATATTTAGGTGTTCGAAAACCAGAATTCATAAGCAAAGCAGAAATAATGCCTCGTTCTATTTTGAGCATATAACCTCCGAGCGGTTAAATGCATTTAGACAAGAAGTCGAAAAGATCTTTTGGAGTGATATGTTTTGTTTTAAAAGATGTTGATTAAATTTACAATCGCTCATTGAAGTGGTTCAAAACCATTTATTAGCGCCATTTTACGGGCCGATTGTTAAGGACACCTAAAAAATTAAAAAAAACTATAGATAATTCAAGACTTACTTGACAGAATTAAAATTAACAAAACGCAATGTACCAGAAATTTGTCAAAACCAAGACCTCCATAACCTGCTCTCTTTCAAGACGAATTCCTATATTCTGCTCTCTTTCACGACGTATTTCAACCAATTAACAAAATTGTTAGGGATCACTAACGCGGAATATCATTCTAAGGTATTTAGAGACTCAAATGGTCGTACGGACTTGATTTGGCAAAAACTGAATTCAATTTTAAATCGCAGTTAAAGCCATATCAGCCTGATGATAACATTGAACGAGACGGCGAACGTTTAAGTGGACTCTCTTTAGCCAAAGCCTTCAGGTAATAATTTGTATATTTAGTTAGTACCAACAGGAACGCCGATCCATCCAAATACATTTTCAGCGTAACGGTTAAGAGTTGAGCTTGTTGGTACATACTTGTAGTTATATCAGCTTGAACTTTAGAAATATCTAGAACACAAAGACAGAAAGGACAGGATATGACACACAGCTGACTACCAACGATTTTTTAGTTTAAACTTCTTCTTTGCGCTTTTGCTCCTTCCTTTTGAGTCCCAAGTGGAGCACATTAACCTATTATACAAATTACCCTA